TCTCTTTATTTCTTTTCTTCTCTTCTCTTTATTTCTTTTCTTCTCTTTCCTTTCTTCTTTTTCTTTCTCTTCTTCTTTTCATATTCTTCTCTTTCCTCTCTTCTCTCCTCTTTTCTTTTTTCTTTCCTTCTTTCCTTGTTTCCTTTCCTTCTTCTTCCCTTTACTCATTTCCTCCTTTCTCTTAATTTTCTGACTCCCTGCCTCTATTTTTTTATCTCCGTTTTCTTTCTCTCCCATTCTTACTATCCTCTAGCTTTTCCTTTTCCTTTCTCTATCTCAGTCCTTTTTTCCCCCTTCCTTTTTTCCTCTCTGTTTTTTTTTTTCCCGCCCTCTTTTTTTCCTTTCCGTTTCCTCTCCATCCCTGTCCCTTCTCTGTCCCACGGTCCCCCCCGCGATGCCGGGGGGTCCCGGAGCCCGGATTAGGTTTATCTGCTCGGCACCAACCCCTCGCTTGTCTCCGGCGGCTCCGGTGGGATTTGCGGCCGCTCCCGGCGGTGCCCGGGGGGCAGCGGCCCGAACCCTCGGCCCCGGGAGCGACTCGGGCCGGGGTTGTGCGGGGCTCCCGCTCCGGTCCCACTGCCCCCGCAGCCCCAGCCCCCGGGCCACTGCCCTGCCTCCTCTCCCCGTCTTTATTTTTCTTTTTCTTCCCTTTCTTTCGTTCTTTTCTACCTTCTCTTGCTTGCTTGGTCTACAACTTCCCTTCTCTCGTTCTTTATTTTTTGCTTCTTTCCTTCTTTTTCTTGCTTTCTCACTTTCCTTCACCTTTCCTTCACATTTCACTCTTTCTCTTCCTTCTTGTTTTTTTCCCCCTGTCTTTCTTCTGTTCCTTCTCTCTTCCTTTCTTTCTCCCCTTCACTCTCTTTCTCTCTTTCTCTCTTTCTCTCTTTCTCTCTTTCTCTCTTTCTCTCTTTCTCTCTTTCTCTCTTTCTCTCTTTCTCTCTTTCTCTCTTTCTCTCTTTCTCTCTTTCTCTCTCTCTTTCTCTCTCTCTTTCTCTCTCTCTTTCTCTCTCTCTTTCTCTCTCTCTTTCTCTCTCTCTTTCTCTCCTTCTCCTATTTTATAATTCCTTTTTCTATCTCAGTTTTTTCTCTGCCTCCCCCTTCCCTTCTCTCCTTCCTCTTCCTCCTGCTCTCCTGGTCCATCCCTTCTCCCTCTCTTTCTTTCTCTCTCCTTTCCCTTCCCCTCTCCATCCTCCCACATCCAGCCCCACCAAGGGCAGCCAGGAGGGAGCACGGCTACGACACCGCAGTGCTTGTGGGGACATAATCCTACAATTTTAGGGTTGGGAAGGCACCCAGGACCCCCCATACCCTTTATCTGTCCCCCCGTGTCATGGGGCGAGAGCGTCACCCCAACATCCCCCCGCAGAGCGGGATCTGGTGCCGGGGCTGCTGGGGCAGGACCCTGACCGTGCTCTGTGTCCACAGGGAGCGAGGTATCCCAGGAGAGCCTTCTCCTGCACGGCCCCTTCGCCCGGAAACCCAAGCGCATCCGCACGGCCTTCTCCCCGTCACAGCTCCTGCGGCTGGAACGGGCCTTCGAGAAGAACCACTACGTGGTGGGCGCCGAGAGGAAGCAGCTGGCCAGCAGCCTCAGCCTCTCCGAGACCCAGGTACTGCCCAGCCCACAGCCAGCTGTCCCACTGTCCACCCACCCACCCGTCCATCCATCCATCCATCCATCCATCCGGTGGGATCAGCTCGGCGTCGGGC